TAGGTTTCCAAAAATTCACAATAAAATGTATTCCTAGTTCTCAGATTTTAAGTGGGGCCAGTCTCTGATTTTTCTTCATCTAGTTTCACAGATGTTTTAGTCAGTTCTTTGTATTTATGCTAATTCTTCTCTCTACACTTATTATTTCTTCTTTGTGACCCAGGGTCACTTATTCCCTGGCTTTTTTAAACCTTGGAGCTCATGTGCTTGAAACCCCTTTCATGTTTAAAGAGTTTCCTCTCTCCTTCCCTCTTAATATTTTTTTCTTTCAGCTTCATTGAGCTATAATTGACATATAACATTTTGTAGGTTTAAGGTATACAGTGTACCGATTTGACCATAAGCTTAGTTAACACATCTGTCACCTCACATAATTACAGTTTTTTTGTGTGTAGTGAGAACTTTTAAGATCTATTCCCCTAGCAACTTTCAAATTGCTGTACAGTATTAACTGTAGTCACCATGCTGTACATTACATTCCAGAACTTCCTCATCTTGTAACTGGAAATTTGTACCCTTTGACCACTATTGCCCATTTCCTGCCCCCATCCCATCTGTGGCAACCACCAATATGCTCTTTGTTTCTATGAATTTTTTTTTTTAAGATTCTACATATAAGTGAGATCAAACAGTATTTTTCTTCGGCTGATTTATTTTACTTAGCAGAATACCCTCAAGGTCCATTCTTAATTTTTTTTGTAAGGCCACAGAGTAGCTAATGAGTATTTAGAAACACAAAGTTAGATATATCTATAGTTTAGTTTAAAAAATCAAGTCAGTAAAGCTTAATGTTCGCTTTGTAAATGAAGGTTGTGTGGGCATTTCATCTTAGTGACTGGGGTGGGTAGATCCCCTGAAGTGAGGACAAGGAGCTTCTGCACAATGTGATAGAATGTGGGCCTACAGAGGCTGTCTTGGGCAGAGCTGCAGAGCTGTGGATGAGATGGGACGGGTTGTGTGTATGTGTGTGGGGCAGGAGTATTGCCCTTCTGCCCCTTCCTCCCAGAGACAACTTTGTGTCTACTTTCCACTGGTTCTAAAGTCAACTCTCCACTGGCTTCAGATGGCCGTGGGCTCTTGAGCATCATAGGAAAAAGAGAAGGGACATTCTAAACAAAAGTATGGAAGATGAGAGTGTTCGCCGTTGTTACGTAGGCCTGCCCCTCTTCTGAATGTGGTTGTAAGCAGCACAGGGACCACCTTGTTCCAAAGCAAAGGAGGACTTACGGTGTCCTGCTTTCATTTTACATAGTTCTTGACTAAAATTTGTAATCTGAGTATATATGTTTAGGAAGATGGGCTCCCATTTACCCTAATCTCTACTGAATTGAAAACAACGTAGCTATGTAATATTTCAGAGATGAACAATGTTATGTGAAAACTATAAGGTTGCATAGTTGAACTGGGTATTCCAGGCAAAGTAAGGTGTATACCATGATGGATGCTTTTTGTTTTCAGGGATTTGTTAAGGCTGTTAAGAACAAAAACTTCTCTGGCTTACTTTGATGGTTCAAAGCCTTTAAAAATAGAGTGATTTGAATTGATCATTCTCAGATTATTTTTGTTTATTTATTTTTTAAGATTATTTTTAAAATGAAAAATTACAAATTGCCTTGATTAATCTCTAGGCATTATGGGCTCTTCTGTACAAGCTCTTGCCAGTTTTGAAACAGCACTGAAACATCATTAATATTCAGAAAACACTTAATTTTATACCTCTATCCTAATTAAATGACTTGTACAATTTGAAATCCTATTTATTTTTTATCATAGAGAATAATCTGTCCTGATTTATAATGATTACCTACTAATTTTGATTCCTTTTCTCATGAAAATTAATGTTCTCTAGAAAAAAATTACATCATTTCAACAGAGAGTAGGGAACACAAATATTAACATAGATCATCTTACTTGTATATCTTTGCAACAACATTGTATGAGAGGTCCATAAGCTACAAAGAGCTTTTAAGAAACTGAAGGAATCTAAAAAAAAAAAAATAACAAACCCCAAAAAACAACAACTGAAGGAACCTAAGGATCTTAATATAAAAGAAAGAACGTAAACCATTCCGTTGTTTAGGTGCTTTATTTCCTTCCATGCTGTTTGTCTTCTATTTGCCATAGATAAAAAATGAGTTTTCTAGCAACCTATATACTTTTCCTCTTGAGCATTTATAGGCTTTAGTAGCAACTGTCTGTTTTGCTTTTTATTGCCATGGTTATCCAAGGTAAGTATTTAGCTAATATTAAAATACATTGTATTTTTGCTTTATGTCCTTGCGGAAATCAATGTATTTTACAGACTTTACTTGTGTTTACACTTTGCCTAAGTAGGTAATATAAAACTGGGCTCACTATAGGTGTTCAAGGAATAACTGTTAGTTGATTAGTGTCATCTTTTCTACAAAGAAAATAATGCCAGTATTAAATAACTTCCCCCAAATTGCCAATTAGTCCCTTATAAAATGCTCAGGAATATTTTACTCCTGGTCTGTCATATTTGAAGCAGATTATACATCATCTAAAATATATTAGTTTTTTTTTTTTTTGAGTTCCAACCAGGTTGGTGTTCAATATAAGTTATTTCTGTTAGAAGTGTACCTTCTGGCAATACTTACGTTCCCGTTTTGAGCTTTTATTTAATTTTGAGAAAATTTATTCTGCTACGATAAATTCTAAGGAAGGTGTCCTACAGTGCTGCAGTGGCATGATAGAATCCTCTGTCTGCGAAGTATTGGCATCCTAGGCTATACGCAGTTGGAGATGGGTCTGGTGGTTGCAATTTTATAACCTCAAACACTCTGGACCAAGGGCTCCCAAATGCTGATGCATAGAGACTATATAGAACCACAAAAATCAGTCTGGGACAGGTACAGGGATCTGCGTTGGTCAGGACTTTGTGAGTTTGGGAGTTTTTTTGTTGTTGTTTTTGTTTTGTCTTGTTTTGTTGTTTTTAATTTCCCAGGTGATTCCAAGGGACTTTGTGTGGGGGCCATTTCTCCAAACCAGAAATGGGCACAGTTTTCAATTCAGCAGACCCTTAACTGCACCATTTGATTGCATATGTAATCTTGTTTTTTTTTTTTAATTATTTTTTTCATCATGATAACTATACTCTTTAATTCCCATCCCCTGCTTTCCCCATCCCCCGCCCACCTCCTCTCTGGTAACCATCAGTTTGTTCTTTATAGTTAAGAGTTTATTTCGTGGTTTGTCTTTGTCTCTTTTTTTTCTTTGTTTTGTTTCTTAAATTCCACATATGAGTGAGATCGTATGGTATTTGTCTTTCTCGGACTTATTTCAGCATTATACTCTCTAGCTCCATCCATTTTTTGCAAATGGCAAGACTTCATTCGTTTTAATGGCTGAATAATATTCCAGTGTGTATATATACTACATTGTCTTTATCCATTCATCTGTCAACAGACCCTGGGGCTGTTTCCATAGTTTTGCTATTGTAAATACTGCTACTATAAACATAGGGGTGCATATATCCCTTTGAATTAGCATTGTTGTTTGTTTTTGTGTGTGTGTGTGTGTGTGTGGTGTTTTTTTGTTTTTTTGTTTTTTGTTTTGGTAAATACCCAGTAGTTTAATGAATTCCAAGCCATATTGCAATAATGACTTTTCTCATAAACCTGGGAGTGTTACCATTCCGTTTAGGAGAATACACTCTAAGTTATGATTATAGCAAATGTCCATCAACAGATGAATGGATAAAGAAGATGTAGTGTATATATGTGTGTGTGTATATCTCCACTGTAATGTTATTCAGCCATGAGGAAGAAGGATATCCTGCCATTTATAACAACAAGGGTCAACCTTGCAGGCATTAGGCTAAGTGAAATAAGTGAGGCAGAGAAAGACAAATATTGTATGATATCACTTGTATGTGGGTTCTAAAAAGGTTGAACTCATAGAAACAGTAGAGTGGTGATGGTGGTGGCTACCAGGGGTGGGAGGGTAGAGGAAATTGGGGTTGGTCAAAAGATACACACTTCCAGTTATAAGATGAATAAGTTTTATGGATCCAATGTATAGCATTTTGATTATACTTAATAATACTGTATTGTATATTTAAAAGCTGCTATAAAGAGTAAATTTCAACTGTTCTCACCACAAAAAAAGAAATGGTAATTATGGGACGGGGTAGAGGTATTAACTAATGCTATGGTGGCATCATTTTGCAGTATATACAGGTATGAAATCAACATGTTCAATAACTTTAAACTTCCACCAATACTGTATGTCAAAATTATATCTCCATAAAACTGGAAAGTAAAATAAAAGTTGAGTGACTAAAGAGTAACATACAGTAATATATTCAATACTAGTGAGTTGCTAATACCATTTACAATTTTGAAGTGTTTAGTAATTGATAAGCTAAGATGGGAACTTAGAAACTAATGTGGTCTCTGTATTAATGTATTGGCTTTGACTTTAATCAGTTGGCATCCAAAATACTAGTTTTTTGCCTTATAAAAAGTGTTTAAAGAAGAAGATATTCATGGTGTACAAAGGTAAAATCTGAAATAATGTGGAAAAATTTAGTCTACATGTTTACCAAAACACTATTTTAACTGTACAAGTGAAGCATTTTTATAGCCTATTTTTTATTGAAGTATAGTTGACATATTAGTTTCAGTTGGACAACATAGGGATTCAACATTTATATACATTTTGAAATGGTTACTACCACAAGTCTAGTTACCTTCTGTCACCAAACATAGTTATTACAATATTATTGACTGTATTCCCTATGCTGTACTTTACATCCCTACGACTTATTTGTTGTATAACTGGAAGTCTGTACCTCTTATTTTCGATAGTTTTAATCCTAGAAACTTGGAAGAATAAATCTTTGCAGTGAAATATTATCTCTTCTTGAAACCTGTGAGGAAAAAAATGATTTATTAGTATCCAAAAATTAAAATAAGAAGTACTTAAAAACTGGTATTCACTTTTGTTCTCATCTTATTTCTCCTCCCCTCTCCCCAAAGCAGATTGCCAAACTGAGGCAGCAACTACAACGTAGTAAACAGAGTAGTCGGCACGGTAAGGAGAAAGATCGTCAGTCACCTCTTCATGGCAACCATGTAACAATCAATCACACTCAGGTAGGCTAATTTCTTGTCCACATTTGAATAATTCCTTTTAAAGGGTTCATTATAAAGGGGGGATCCATTATTTTAGGATTAAAAAATTAATAATATAAATCCCTAGCTCTACTAAATTACTACTACTGGTTAAATTGTTGCAAGAAGTTTTTTCACCCCTCCATATACATAATTTTCTTTTAATAATAGACCTAACAGAGTGTAGTCACCTCAAGGATGATTGATACTAAAATCCTAGCTCATTCACTTATTAAGCAACTATGGGCATTATCTCATTTAATCTTCCTAATAGTACCTTAAGCCATCTATATCTCTTTATCTATATTTACCCCTATTTTACATAAGAAATTGAGGATTAGAGTTCTGTTGGGGATCCCCCAACTCCCCCCCACCCCAGGAACATGTACTTCCATGGAATAAGTTTAGGGAATGCTGTTCTAGACCAAATTCACTTAAAATATTGATATAAATTTTAGTAAATCAAATACAGTAGTATAGAAAAACCCAAGTAGTGAATCAAAACAAAACTAAACAGGGTGTTTCAGAAACATATGGATGATTCAGCATTAAGAAAGGTGTTAGTTTAGTTAACTGCATCAGAAGGTCAAAGTAGACGCTGAACAGTATTTGATAAAAACTCAGTATTCTTATGTGATAAGACCTTATTAACTAAAAATAGGATACTTCCTAATGTGACTTACTGCAAGTGTAGTGAGATCCTAACAATAAAATACTGGAAGCATTTCTGTTAAAATAAAAATCAAGTCATAGATGCCCATAATTACTGATACTACTTGCTAGTGGCTTAGAGGCTCTGGACAGAGCAGTAAGAAAAAGAAACAGCTTTCATTATCTGTATATGATATGATTATATTTAGAAAATCAAAGTGAATGAACTAAACCATCGAAACCAGTAGGATAGCCAGTACCAAGTGTTGGTGAGGATGTGGATCAACTAGAACAGACATTCATTGCTAATGGGAACACAAAATGGTACCACCACTTTGGAAAACAGTTTGGCATTTTCCTAAAAAGTTAAACACACATACACTGACTATAGAGCCCCCAAATTCCACTCTTTGATATCTAGGCATGAGAAATAAAAACATATGTCCATACTAAGACTTTTACATCAGTGTTCATGGAGGCATTATTTATAAGAGTCAAAAAATGGAAACAAATATCTATTAGCTGGTGAATGGATAAAACAAATTTCATAATATCCATGCAATACTACTCAGCAGTAAAAAGGAAGGAACTACTGATACTTATGAGAACACGGTTGAATCTCAAAAACATCACGCTAAGTGAAAGAAGTCAGAAGCAAAAGTCTACATAGTGTATGATTCATTATGTTAAATTCTCAAAAAGGCAGTATTATAGAGACAAAGTATGATTTTTTTCTTATCTGGTAGAAATAATATATTTTATTCTTACTCTGTTTATTTCAAGCACCTTTTCTGTAAGCCCAGTGCATTTATAGAAGATCTATTGACTTGCTGATTTAACAAAAAAGACTTAGGCAGGTGTTCCTAATTTACATTGAATTTTTGACATTGTGGTTAGGTATAAAAATAATTATCTGCCATACATACTGAAATATTTGTAGGCGAAGTATGAAGTCTAGAATATGCTTTAAAATTATCTAAGAACAGAAGAAAAGTGGATACTTGATGAAACAAGATTGGCAGATGTTGGTAATTTTTGAAGCTGGATGATGTGCACATGAGAGTTCATTATGGTATAGCATTTAATTATGCTTATGATTATAATTTTTCATAACAAAAAGAAAAAACTGAGAACTTAAACGATTAAATGTAAACATAAAAATCGGTAGTTTCTCTTATATGAATGAAGGTAAACCACTGTACCCTCTACTTAGAGTACTTCTAACACCACATGTGTGGGAGGTTTTCCCATACCATTTGCCAACTCTCCAGACACCAGCTGAGTGTCTTACAATTCAATATAACACTAACTACTCGGAGTTGGCACAGACCCCACAGTTTAAGGGCTCAGCCCTACAAGACTGCCCACCCTCCCCCCTTAAGATGCCAGTCACAAGTCCCAGATTGTCATCTGTACTTCTGACCATCTGGCTATAAAAAAGTAATTCCCAACAACCACTTCAGGTTCAATAATTTGTTAGATGGCTCACAGAACTCAGGGAATCACTTATGTGTACTCTTTTATTATAAGGGATATAATAAAGGATGCAGGCGAACAGTTTGATAAAGAGGTACATAGGGCAAGGTCTGGAGAGGTCTCAAGTGCAGGGGCTTCTGCCTCCCTGGAGTCGGGGCGTGCCACTCTTTTGGCATGTGGATACGTATTCACCAACCTGGAAGTTCTCTGAACCCATAGTTTAGAGATTTTTATGAAGGCTTCATCACATTGGCATGATCCATTATTAACTCCATCTCCAGCCCTTCTGCCCCCTCCAGAGGATGTGTGGGGCTGGAAGTTCCAAGCTTATAATCATGGCTTGATCTTTCTGTTGACTAGAAGCTATCCAGGAGCCCCTCAAGAGTCACCTCATTGGAATAGAAGACTGTTCCTTCTATCATCCAGAAAATTCCAAGGGATTTAGGAGCTCTGTGTCCAGTTCCAGGGTGAGAAACCAAATACGGGAACCCAAAAGATGCCCCTAGCATACCTATCACTCAGGAAATTACAAGAATTTTGGGAAATGTGTGTCAAGAACCAGGACAGACACCAAATATATGTTACTTATTATGTTACAGTTCTCAAACACGTATATAAGAAAAATATATACAATGCCTAGAATTTGACATAAAATAAATATGCAAATTATAAGACTTTATTGAGGATATGAAATACAAAACCAAGACCTAAATGGGAAGTCCCAACACATTCATGTATGGGAAGGGAAGACTTAATATTTTTTAAATAGCAATTTACCTGAAATTAATGTACAGATTGAGTTCCAACAGAAATTTAGAAGGACTTGTTTTGTTACTTGAAAAGTTGTTCTCAAAGGTCCTATGGAAAACTAATGCCAATTAATAGAAAAAATTTGAAAAGGTTTTTCCTATAAGATACCAACATGTACTATAAAATAGCAAAGTGAAGCTCTGTATAGGGAATATCTGTTAAGGAAATGAAATCAGAATCAAATCAAATATAGAAATCCATAAGGAAATCAAATATAGAATCATAAATGTTGGCAGTTTGATTACTGGGTGGCAAAAAACATACTGCTTCACACCATACACAAAAATAAATCATGATAGGTTAAATATTTAAAAATGAAAAATGATAGAGTACTGAAAGGTATCTGATACTAAAGTAAGCAGCACATGTATGACAAAGAGGTACAACTTCAATATGAAAAAAACTCGTGCATCAATAACAAAGGACATTAGCAGGCAGCCGTTCACAGATGGCAGAAGCACAGCACTGAGTACAGGAAATATTATTCATGTGTTAATCAGTGATTAGCAGTCCACCTCATTATGAATCCTACGGATCAACTTTAATCATTCTAAGATAGAGAACATGATTATTTTTATTTTTACCTTGTTCATCTTTGTTTTCCTTATTTCCTTTCTGTGGTAGAAGTTTCTTGAGCATCAAAAGGCTTATCTTACTCTAAACTCTAAAGAACAAACAGACGGTTACCGGAGGGGAGGTGGTGGGGGGGGTACCTGAAGTAGGTGTGGGGATGAAGAGAACACTTACCATGATGAGCACTGAGTTATGTATAGAATTGTTGAATCACTCTATTATACACCTGAAACTAATATAATACTGTATGTTAACTATACTGGTTTTTTTTTTTTTAAAGACTGATCTTGGGCCCCTGGGTGGCTCGGTCAGTTAAGTGGCTGCCTTCGGCTCGGGTCATGATCCTGGGGTCCTGGGATTGAGCCCCCCATCGGGCTCCCTGCTCAGGGAGCTTGCTTCTCCCTCTGCCTGCTACACCACCTGCTTGTGTGCTCTCTCTCTCTCTGTCAAATAAATAAAATCTTAGGGGCACCTGAGTGGTTCAGTCATTAAGCGTCTGCCTTTGGCTCAGGTCATGGTCCCAGGGTCCCGGGATCGAGCCCCGCATTGGGCTCTCTGCTCGGCGGGAAGCCTGCTTCTCCCTCTCCCACTCCCCCTGCTTGTGTTCCCTCTCTCGCTGTGTCTCTCTGTCAAATAAATAAATAAAATCTTTAAAAAAAAAATTAAAATCTTAAAAAAATTTTTTAAAAGGCTTATCTTATACTTTTTGGTACTGTCTGTGACAACCGTGAGAGGTGGTTAACTCTTGAGAACTTCTCCAAAAGACTTTTGAAAACAACCTTAAAGTTGTTAAGTGAGTGTCACTGAACTGAACATGATGTATTGTTGCCACATTATTTAATAATCCATAAGGTTTTCAAAATGGAAATTAAAAATACTAGAAGGTAATTGTAACAGTGAAGGAAACAAATCTTTTAAACACACACATAGAGCTGTCCAGTAAAGCCACATGATCCACTTAACTGACAGGATTTCAACTATGCTTTTTCAGTAAAAACAGCAAACGGAAAAAGAAACAGTGCAGAAGAGTCTGTCTGCTGTCCTAATGAAATAGTGTATATGTTATGCCATTATACCTTTACACTTCACCTTAAAGGATTATTTTGACTCTAGAGTTTTTACCTTCCTTACTTTAGAACCTAAATTTCTGGATGTGATTCTGAATTTATAAATTGTATTTGAAATGTTGAAATAACTCCACTCATTTGAGTTTCCATTTTCAGATTTACCGTGCTCTTGAGTTCTTGATTTCTTGATTTTTTTGGCCACAAATAATTTGACACCACCTTATCTTATGTTTTGTAGGCTACTGGATCAAGATCAGTCCCTATGCCGCTGTCAAATATATCAGTGCCAAAATCATCCGTTTCACGTGTGCCCTGCAATGTAGAAGGAATAAGTCCTGAATTAGAAAAGGTATTCATTAAAGAAAATAATGGGAAGGAGGAAGTGTCCAAGGTAAGGTTACGTGCAATGTTTGAATCCTTTTTTTTTCTTTAATATTTAGAACTGTCTTAAAAGTCCTTTTTTTGGTAACAGCTTTATTAGCTATAATTCACATACCATCAATTTACCCATGTGAATTGTACAACTCAGTGTTTTTTTTTTGTATATTTACAGTTGTGCAACCTTATCACCACAATCGATTTTACAGCATTTTCATCACCCCAGAAAGAAACTTTGATCCTTTAGCAATCATCCCTCATTTCCTTCCAGTGCCCCAGCTGTAGACAACTACTCATCTACTTTCTCTGTCTACAGCTTTGCCCGTTCTAGACATTTCATATAAATGGAATCATGCAATACATGGCCTTTTGTAACTGACTTTTTTCATTTAGCATAATGTTTTTCAGGTTTACCCATGTTGTAACACTTATCAGTACTTCGTTCCTTTTTATTGTCAAATACTCAGTGTGTGAATTTTATTTAGCTAGTCATCAATTGATGAACATGGTCTTGTTCCTACTTTTTGGCTATTATGAATAATGCTGCTATGAAGTTCATATACAAGATTTCATGCGCACATGTTTTCCTTTCTCTTGGGTATATACCTAGTTGTGGAATGGCTGGTTTGGTAGCTCTTTGTTAAACCTTTTGAGAAACTGCCAGACTGTTTTCCAGAGTGTCTGTACTACACCATTTACTTGTATGAAGGTTCCAGTTTCTCCCATCGTCACCCATACTTGTAATTCTTTTTTATTATAGACATCCTATTGGGTGTGGGTATCTTCTCATGGTGTAGCTATGCATTTCCTGAAGGCTAATGATGTTAAGCATCTTCTGTGTGCTATTGGCCATTTGTATATCTTCTTTTTTTTTT